CAACAGAGGGTTCAGCATCAACAATGTGGAGGCTACCTGGAAGCCCAGGGGGACCCTTATTGACTTTTTCACGGGTATACTCACTGGCCACATCTTGAATAGAGGAGACTTTGGAAACAACAAATGGGGAAACAGAATAGTCAAGTGTCAGGTGGGCTTCAGATGATTCACATTTTTCAGGAGGAGTCATATTCTGGTCATCTGATGGGACCTGCTGGATTTGACTCATGTCCTCCTTTTCTGAAGGCTCTCTCCTGGCCCAAGAGGTGAACAAAGAACAGAATATTGACACAGAAGTGTTGGACGCCACAGTTCAGCAGCAAGTCCTAATGAGATTCTAAGGGAAAGGTGATAGAAGACAGAGGGGCTCTCTTCTGGAAGGTGTGGAACAAACTCATCCTCATCTGATCAGTGCAGAGGGAGGGTGGCTACCACGGGGATGAGTACAGGGGATGGAGACGAGTGTGGGAGCAGCGGGTGCTCAGTGCACTGGCCAGTAACACTCACATGAGGAAGGAGACCTCACACTCTCTGTGTGGCACACTCATGACAGGCACCACACGATGAGAGCCACACTGTCGTTACAAACCAGGGCAGTTTGGTTCCACTTTCCTTCTGGAGACCCGGGCAGTGAAGCCTCCTGAGGCATTGCCATCTCACGGAAATATGGACATTCTAGACCCTCTTCTCTCAGTATGGTGATGTAGATAGCAATTTTAGCTCTGATTAGTTAGTGTTATTTTTGGGGGGTGTGGTTTTGTTTGTTTGTTTGTTGCCATGAAATGCCTGCCAACAAATCAAGGACAATCTAGCAGAAACACATCTACTTCATTTGGTTCTTTCCACTCAAGGGTAAGAAATCCATGAAATTAGCTCTGGGTCCCTAAATAAGAAATTATTAGGAGGGTTTTACCACTTTTAAATGAAAAAAAAAAATTCCTCAGGAGTCCTTCCCTCTCCCCACAGGCACATATATGGCAAGAACAGCAGAAAGAAGCGGGTTTCTAGGCAAAGGTCCTGGTTGTCTTCCCAATGTCCCTTCTTCTCATGTCAAAATGAAGACACCTGGTAGACCTACGGGCTCTCTCTCACCTACACAGTTCTTGGTCATAGGCCATGCACTCATCCCTGAAATGCATGATCTTCTTCTGCGTCTCCTTGAATTTTTCTTTGAGCTGCTCCCAGTCCACCTTCTGCTCATCTGCCTCTTTTCTCATCTTCTCAAGCTGGATTCGAGAAGTTACTAGGGTGTTTCTCAGGTCGTCTGTGTCCTGGGTGTGCGCTGTTGGGCAACATACAAGAGCATTTCTATCACAGGCACAAAACGTATGCAAGCTCATCTTTCCTGACAAACAAAACTGAGACCAAGGGAAGGTCTTGGCCTGGTGGGAAAAGCAAGTGTTGATTCACTCTACCTCACACCCCGAGGAATGCTGCATCTCTGTCTGCAATATCACTCATTTAAGATGGCCAGCCCTGCTCTTAGCAAGCACATTCTGGTTTCTCAAGGTCAGTGTTTTCTATACATTCACACACCATTGGTTCAGTAATTCATTCTTGAGTTAAATCAAAGATCTACCCAAGATATTCTTTTTGTTTGTAAGAATTATTTTGTATTTAACTTTATTTCTTTATTTTAATTTGACTGCAGAGGGACAGAGTGAAAGAGAGAGAGCAGGAAAGTGGGAAAGGGAGCCATCAGGTCCAGGACTCGAATCAGGGTCAGCCATGTGGCAGTCCAGCGCCCTTAACCACTCCACCACCTGCTGGCCCCATCCCAAGATTGCTTCAAAAAAACACAAGATTCTTGGTCATTTATGGAGAATGAAACTGCTGAAATCAAGCCCTTTTTTTTTAAACCATAGGGCACGTGAGAGAGACAGAGACAGTGAGAGGGAAAGTGAGACATCATCCTCTCCTCAGGGGAGACTGCCATGCCACAATCCCTTCTCCTCCAGTCTCCTGGAATTTGGGGCATACATACACACATACCCACGGTGATTTTCAAGCCACCAGATCCAGGACTCACACCAAGGTCAGTCATGTGGGAGTCCAGTACCTTAACAATCACAACACCTGCTGGCCCCATCAAACCTTAGCTCCAGCACCAGCAATGTTCCTGGTGTTCATGTTCTCACATTCACATGACTGCTTATGAGGAAAAGCTAACAGGAGGACAGGGACTTAATCTCTTAAATCTCTCCATTTTGTTAGCCTTTCCACTGGGACTCAGTATAACACAGTTGCCTGGAAATATTTAAAGAGGCGAGCTACCAGGACCAGCAGATGGTGTAATGATTATACCACTGGACTCTCACATGACCGGCTGAGTTCAAGTCCTGGACCCAGTGGCTTAAAACTCACACTGGGTATGTGTGTGTGCATGCCCAAAATCCCAATAGGAGAATGGAGAAGGGATTGCAGCATGGCCATCCCCCCAGGGGGTGATTTCTCACTTTCTGTCTCTATCTCTTTGATAAGCATGTGTGCCCTGGAACAAAAATCTCTCTCTCTAAAAAAACAAAACCAAAACCAAAAAATAGATGTGCTTAAAACTCACTCCTAAGGAGAAATTCTCGCTAAGATGATAGCGATATTGCTCACCCTGGACAGAGGAACTGAGCACCAAGTAGATGGGGGCTACCTGGGAGAACACTGGATTCATCTACTTTCGGGTGGACGGGGGGAAGGACTCACTGGTGCCATCCTGAGTAAAACCAACTTCACACTCATCAGACCAGCAGGCGAGATGGCTAGAAAAGTGGCTGGAGTCACACAAGTCCTGGGGCCTGGGAAGAAGCAAATTGGGACCATTCAGTGTATTATTTTGAACACGATTCACTTTTTCCTTCTCCTGCGGCTCCTGGCTAAGCCTGGTGATGCAGAAAAGGCAACATATGAAGCCGGGAGCAATTGGACACCACAGCTTTCCCTGAAGGTCTTGTTCAGAAGACCAAAGGAGAGGTCACAGAAGACCACCCCTTGAGGCAAAAAGAATAAATCAGTCCTTTAAGTGAGGTTCCATGGTGGGTGGACGTGACAGCAGTGTATGCTCACATGATGTGGAGATGAGGATGAAGACTCAATTCTTCCTGTGCAGAACAGTAATGACACACAGCTCATAGTGAGACCATAATGGCTGCTCTAATCCCCAAGTGAGCTTGTCCCATTTACATGCAGAAGTTCAGTGAGGAAAGGCTCGGGAGGCAGTGCTGTCTCACAGAGATCACGCACCTTCTAAAATGTATTTTGCCAAAAATGTAATATAATATCTTTTTTTTGGGTGTGTGTATGCAGTTATTTGTTAGTTGTGCTATGAAGTCCCTGCCAACAAGCCAAGGGCAATCTTGCAGATACAAGTGCATCTCATCGAGGAGATCCATACTGGGTAGAGCAGGTGATCTCCCTCAAGGCAGGACCTCCCTAAGGTTGGCTGCGATTTACTAAACTTAGGAACCTGACAGAAGATGGAAACCAATGTCAGAACTGCCAAGAAAACATACCACATTCTTGGCATGCGAGATGGCTAGAAAAGTGGCTGGAGTCACACAAGTCCTGGGGCCTGGGAAGAAGCAAATTGGGACCATTCAGTGTATTATTTTGAACACGATTCACTTTTTCCTTCTCCTGCGGCTCCTGGCTAAGCCTGGTGATGCAGAAAAGGCAACATATGAAGCCGGGAGCAATTGGACACCACAGCTTTCCCTGAAGGTCTTGTTCAGAAGACCAAAGGAGAGGTCACAGAAGACCACCCCTTGAGGCAAAAAGAATAAATCAGTCCTTTAAGTGAGGTTCCATGGTGGGTGGACGTGACAGCAGTGTATGCTCACATGATGTGGAGATGAGGATGAAGACTCAATTCTTCCTATGCAGAACAGTAATGACACACAGCTCATAGTGAGACCATAATGGCTGCTCTAATCCCCAAGTGAGCTTGTCCCATTTACATGCAGAAGTGCAGTGAGGAAAGGCTCGGGAGGCAGTGCTGTCTCACAGAGATCACGCACCTTCTAAAATGTATTTTGCCAAAAATGTAATATAATATCTTTTTTTGTGTGTGTGTATGCAGTTATTTGTTAGTTGTGCTATGAAGTCCCTGCCAACAAGCCAAGGGCAATCTTGCAGATACAAGTGCATCTCATCAAGGAGATCCATACTGGGTAGAGCAGGTGATCTCCCTCAAGGCAGGACCTCCCTAAGGTTGGCTGCTATTTACTAAACTTAGGAACCTGACAGAAGATGGAAACCAATGTCAGAACTGCCAAGAAAACATACCACATTCTTGCTGAATAGAATGAATGAAACAGAGATAGCCAGCATTTCCAGGTCATTTCAGGACCTAAAATGTCTAGCTATCACCATTGTATCCACAGCCCATGATTATTAGACTTACTTGGAAACCACTAGCTCTTCTTTTTTCTTATTCTTCTGTTTGTTTTCCACTTCTGCAAATAAATTCAGGTAGAGCATGTCACAAACATTCCCTCTCGGCATGTTGTAAACCCGAGGACCTACTTAAGCCCAGAGAAATAAATACTCCTAGTGTGGAAATGGGGTATTCTGAGAAGACTATTCCAGGAGGTCTTAGGCTATGTCTTCTGAGAAGTAGCCAGACTTCCTTTCCTGGGTCAGTGGACAGATTGTCCCTGATGTGATGGGTCAGAATCACAATGTCCCCTGCCCTGGGTCCAGGGAGAATTAAATGTACCTTTTTGGCTAGAGATAATGAGGAGCTTGCCTACCTACCTTGTAGCTTTTACTTCAGGATCAGCTCTTACTACCTCTGATGCCCTGACTGTTTAGATGAGATTATACACTGAGACCAGGCTGATGGATGGGATCAATACACCCTCAAATTGAAAAGAATCTTCAGTGCTATCTATGCAAAAGGAATCTTGCCATTCAAGGTGATGGAGCAGGCCAGGGCCCATATCATGCCTTCAAGGACTGTTCCAGATACAGCCCAGAGCTGTTTCTGTCATAGCTCTAATAAGATTGCAGTGAGGGCAAGTCACGTGAGAGAGAGAGAGAGATGTCAGCTCAGAGTTCAGGAGCTACGGCAAAAACATTTCTAAAATTGTAAGCATGAGCACCCACCTAAGTGGACAATCACTGATGCTCAAAGGACACGGTTCAAAACTGAGAATTCACAAGAACGTTATGGGAAGGAAAAGAAGGACCATCTTACAGGACCAACAGATGGCAGAATGATTACATCATTGGACTCCAACATAGTCCATCATGGTTCAAGTCCCAGTCCTGGTGGCTTAAAACTCACAGTGGGCATGTGTGCAAAGATGCCCAAAATCCCCGAGAAGAGAATGGAGAAGAAGGGATTGTGGTGTGGCCATCCCCCAGAGGGGTGATTTCTCGATTTCTCTCTTTCTGTCTCTCTTTCTCTCCCTGTCGCTCCAAAAAGCACACATGCCCTATAGTAAAAATGTCTCTCTAAAAAAATAAAATAAAATAAAATAAAATAAAATAAAATATAAAATAAAATAAAATAAAGAAGGATCATCTTAAAAGAATAAGCTCCCACAGACAGATACCTGCTGTGTACATGCATTCATGCTGGCTGCAAGTTTGGTATAATTGTTTCAACTTCTATTTGGTAATGTTTTCTTTTCTGCTTTAGAAGGAGTATATTAACATCTATTAAAGAAATAAAATAAAATGAATAACCTTCCAAAACAGAAATCACCAGATACAGATAGATTCACCAATCCTGCCATATGAAAAAGACATTATACTAATTTTCTACAATGTCTTCTTAAAAAAAAAAGGAGAAGCAGAGGCATACCTCAAATCTTATTCTACAAGGTAAGTATTATCTTTGATATCAAAACTTGAAAAAGACATTGTAAAAAAGGAAAACTACAGGCCAATCTTTTTCATGGACATAGTTGCAAAAATTCTCAACAAGGGGGACAGCAGGTGGTATGGCCATTAAGGCACTGGACTCCTACGTAGCTGACCACAATTCGAGTCCTGGATCTGGCACCTCAAAAATCATGTTGGCTGGAACCAGCAGTTAGCGTAATGGCTATGTCAGTGAACTCTCATGTAGTCGACGACATTGCGAGTCCTAGACCCAGTGACTTAAATTCATGCCGGGCACGTGTGCATGCGTGCCCAAGATCCCAAGGGGAGAATGGAGGAGAAGGGATTGCGGCATGGCAATCCCCCCTGAGGGGTGATTTCTCGCTTTCTGTCTCTCTGTCTCTCTGGCAAGTGAACATGCCCTATAGCAAAAACCTCTTAAAAACAAAAAAAAATCTTGTTTGCCATGTGTGTGTGAATGCCCAAAAGCCCAGGAGGAGAATGGAGGAGACGGGATTGTGGTGTGGCCATCCTCCAGGGGTGATTTCATACTCTCTCTCTCTCTTCCCAAGCACACATGCCCTATGACAAAAACTTTTTAAAAAGTCCTCAACAAAACACTAGTAAATAGAATCTAACAATGTACACAAAGAGCTTAGATTACAACCAAGTGAGATTTATTTCAGATCCACAAGGGTAGTTCAATATCAATTGATTTATCACATCAACTGACTAAAGGGGAAAATTGTATAATCATATCAACAGATGTAGAAAATGCATTTGACAAAATTCAACAACTACCCATGATAAAAACAAAATGAAACAAAACTCAGCAAGCCAGAAATACAAAGAACGGGCACCCCATAATAGAAAATGTCTACAAAAATCTATAGTAGGGACCCAGTAGAAGGCATAAAAGTCTGTAGACTCCTACGTTGTCAACCACTGTTCAAGTCCTGAACCCACTGACTTAAAACTCACAGTGGGCGCATGTGGGTGCATGCCCAAAATCCTGAGAGGAGAATGAAGCAATGGTGGCGTGGGCATCCCCACTAGAGGGTGATTTCTCTCCTTCTGTCTCTATCTCTCTCTGTCTCTCAGCAAGTGCTCATACCCTATAGCAAAAATCTCTCTAAAAAAGAAAGAAAGGAAGAAGAAAAGGAAGAAAGAAAGAGACTCTGTAGCAAACACCAAGCTTACAGATGATAGACTCTTTTTTTTTTAAAATCAAGAACAGGTTTAGGATATCCACTCTCATCGCGCCTGTTGAATATCCTACTGGAAATTCTAATTGATTTAATAAGTAAAGGCGAGGAAGAAATAAAACTTTCTTTGCAGATGACATCAATGTCTATGTAAAAAGTTTCAAAGAGTCTGACTCCTCTGCAGTGGTGCAGGAGGTAGGGCCCTACTCTACAATGCAGAAGGTCATAGAAACTGAAAGGATTCAGATCCCAGGTCGACCTGAACATGGTGGGTCTATGCATGAGTGCCCTGGATCCTGGCTGACTGGAAGGCTTGGGAGAAAACCACAGCATTAGACCCTGTCCAGAGGGACTGCCTCTCTCTATCTCCAAAGAAATACATAAAGAAAACAAAAATTCAAAGAATCAACAACAAATAACAAACGAATTGATCTACAGCAAGGTTGCAGAATATTTCTTTAGTATAAAAGTTCAACTACTTTCTTATAAACCAACGACAAACAAACACAATATGATATTAAAACACAATACTTCTGGGGCCAGCTAGTGGTGTGTTGGTTAAGGCGCTCGACTCTCATATGGCTGACCATCATTTGAGTCCCGTGCAAGGTGACACGCTTTCTCACTTTCCCTTTCTTTCTCTCTGGTCAAATTAAGAAATAATAACAAATAAAATTAAGTAAATTATTATTTTTAAAAAGATTTTTTAAAGTACAATACTGCTTACTTTAGCACAAAAAGTGAGGTTCTGATGTATGAATATGTAATAAAATGGATACAAGATGTATATGAAGAAAACTATAAAACTGAGACTATAACTCAGAGAAGATCTATGTAAATGAAAATACATTCCATGTGCATGGATAGGAAGATATCAAGATGGCACTTCTTGAGACCAGCAGTTAGCATAATGGCTATGTCACTGGA